GTCTGTGTCTGTCTGTCTGTCTATCTGCTTTATACTCTGACCTAACTAATAAGGATATTTTTTAGATTTTATTTCTGACAATTTGCAGAAAAGAATAATGTTATTTAAAACCAGTCAGGACGTGTGTGTGGCCTTTGTGTTTTGAACATCTACGAAGCAATGAACAGGGCGTCTTAACGTATTTGCATTGACTCTGTAACCTAAACAGATACCGAAGTACATTAATTTACGTCTACGCTGTCTGACAGAACATACCATCTATCAGCTGCAACTTTCCTTCTGTTGATCCAGATGAATCACACTGTTTATTTGCTTTAAGCCATCTCGCAGTATTGGATGTCGTAAGACATTCCCTGATGTGCTTAGCTATTTGCTTTTTCAGTAATGTTTTGTGATGTTGCATGAATGAAAACCAATTAATCACTTAAATCGGCCAAAACATTCTTTCCATTGTGCTTTTGCTGTTAAATTGTTGGTTGTGTTTGTTTGGTTAGATGGAAATTGCATTCTAGTGGTGAAAAAAAAAGACTCAAAGAAACTCGTGTTAACTATAGCAACGTTATAAAATGGGTATGTTTAAGCAAATATTGACCACTAAAAAGGCAAAATTATGAAAGAACTAACGCTTTAATCCCTGTGAAAGAACAATGCAGTCGTGGAATGGTACAGTTTAAATGGCGCTATTTAAGCTAATTTTATGAATAAGAATAGCATCAGCATCATTTTCAGTGTCATTTAGAGAAATCTAGTTGTTCATTGTTGCTGTTTTTGTTAACTAAACTATAACTAAACCTATTAAAAATTGTTTTTGTTAATTGAAATAAATCTTACATAAGATATACAGGTGCTTCTCAATAAATTAGAATGTCGTGGAAAAGTTCATTTATTTCAGTAATTCAACTCAAATTGTGAAACTCGTGTATTAAATAAATTCAATGCACACAGACTGAAGTAGTTTAAGTCTTTGGTTCTTTTAATTGTGATGATTTTGGCTCACATTTAACAAAAACCCACTAATTCACTATCTCAACAAATTAGAATACTTCATAAGACCAATAAAAAAAAACATTTTTAGTGAATTGTTGGCCTTCTGGAAAATATGTTCATTTACTGTACATGTACTCAATACTTGGTAGGGGCTCCTTTTGCTTTAATTACTGCCTCAATTCGGCGTGGCATGGAGGTGATCAGTTTGTGGCACTGCTGAGGTGGTATGGAAGCCCAGGTTTCTTTGACAGTGGCCTTCAGCTCAAATTGGTTGAGATAGTGAATTGGTGGGTTTTTGTTAAATGTGAGCCAAAATCATCACAATTAAAAGAACCAACGACTACTTCAGTCTGTGTGCATTGAATTTATTTAATACACGAGTTTCACAATTTGAGTTGAATTACTAAAATAAATGAACTTTTCCATGACATTCTAATTTATTGAGATGCACCTGTAAATATTACATGAAAAACTTAATATTTTAAAAATAATAATTTAAAGTAGATTTTTTCATTTTTTTAAATATATATTAAAAGCTAATTCAAAATATTAAATAGAACTAAAATAGTACTGATTCACACACTTGTTGATATTTGCCTGTAACCAGAGCATATTATATTACTGCAATATTTTCAGTCCCGTGTTCATTTTTATGCAATGATACGGTGCAGATATTTGAGTGACTAACCAGTGTCAGAAAATAAACCTCTTTTTCTCTGCTTATTTTCTTTGCTGAGCAGAAACAGACATTTCCCCATTCAGATCGTACTGTGCTATATTAAGCGACTTCAAGGCAAGCATCATTGACAACAGCGAATACTGCTATGATGAGCCTAGTGGAAAAAAACAGCCCACAGGGATATCTCATAGTTAATGACTCGAAGCAGAAACAAGGGCACAAAAGACACATTTTGGCCTTTATTTTAATAAAAAAATAAAAACAAAACAAAACCATTTTGTATAGTAAAGGCAGAGCCCAGCCCATTTGCCAGCCCATATACAAAAGAAAAGTTGCCATGGCCAAGCTCAGGGCCTCATTTAAATAAATACAGGCCTTTGAAAACTGTGCCCTTTCCTTTTGTTACTCTATTTTTGTTCCATGACTACGGGTTCCCTGCCTCAAACAGAAACTGTCAATGTTATTTCAGAGTTTCACTGTTTTTGATCCAGGTGGGTATTTATAGAATAAGACAAACACATGTCAGTTATTCTTAGTACAAACTCAAATCCCAGCAGGCTGACTAATGGAGCACCATCAGCTACCTGATTATAAGTTCAAGGTAAGGTGAGGCTTATGAAGATAAGAAAAGTCAATATAGGTTTACACTGAGGCTTGCCTCTGCCTTTTGTACCTGGCAAATGAATCATCAAAATGAGATTGTGAAGCTGGAATGGAAACCCAGACTCAGACCAGTTAACTTAAAGAGACAGTTCACCCAAAAAAATTAAAACCCTGTCATTGTTTACTGTGTGTGTTATTGTTTCCGTGGAACGTAGAGTTTGAAATTTCAAAATAAAGGTTCCATACGATTTTCACAGCAATAGAAGAACAGTTTTTGGTTCCTCAAAGAACTTTTCACAAAACAGTTATTAAAAGAACCTTTTCCACTATGTATGCATTTAATTATTTATCTGCATCAGAAAGTTTCTATTGATGTTAAAGGTTCTTCATGAAAAACCACCAATGCCGATAAAGAACCTTTATGTTTAGGAGTGTACTCTGCAGCTGTGAAATAAAACTGAAGTAGCAGTTTGCTCCAAATAAAGTCAAAACTACTGTGAAGAATCTCAAAATTATTACTTTCAACTAGAAAATGTAAAGGTGAGTAAACAATGGCAGGATTTTCATTTTTGGATGAGCTACTCGTTGCACGTGATTAATCTCCTATTTTCTGATGTTAACCATTCTACTGTTAAGAATGTATGTAGTCTCAAATGCTTATCAGTGCTGTTTCTTTCCCTAATCAAAAATACAGGTTACATGCACCTCTTTTCAGCTCTCAAATCAGACTTTAGTGGCACATTCGGTGACCAAAAGCAATAAGATTGGTCTTAATGGAGTCAACACTGGTGTAGATTCTTAAAAAGGTCTGCTTTTGACTAGAAAGTGTAAAGGTGTGTAAATGATGGCAGAATTTGCATTTAAATGTGATTGTATAATGTGAAATTCAGTTAAATCTACACTCTTAAAGTAAATCAACTAGTAACGATTCACTTTATGCAGTGTAATTATAATTGTATTACTTTATTTGTCGTTTCTGGTTATGAAACAGTGTTAATGCAATTTCACATCGTTCAAATGTGCATTATTGTGTCTTTCTTACTGTATGTATGACAGCTTTGAGATAAATATTTAACCACGCAGACTTAAAGCCTCCAGCGTGAAATTGACCCCGACTTTATGCATTTCAGCAGATGGTAAAAAAAAAAAAAAAAAAAAAAAGATGGCAGTCAGGCTGGTGGCCAACAGTTACATTTGATTGTCTGAATCACATTAATGTCGTATTGAACAGCAATTCCTGTTAATTTCTTTGTCTAAGCCTGCATAAAGATTTTCTGAACCGGCAAGATGTAAATGTGTTTGGAAAAGCCTCCGATTCCGAGAAGCAAGTGTGTGTAGTCAGCATTTATTTTCAAAGGCCTTTGGCTAATGGGATGGACGTACTCAAGAGCTCAAATCAATGTCACGGACAAGTCAGGACTTGTTGCCAGGTCTCTGTCTCATTATCAGCCTACACAAACACAATAAACACACTGTAGGGAATACTCCCTTCATAAAATATCAACAAAAAAAAAACTAAAAAATCCTCAAATAATCAAAGACTTTGGCTCAAGTTAATTAAGCTGACACTGAACCAGACAATGCTTTAATTCCTTGCCCTCCTTTACAGTAAAGCAGAGTGTGAATGCCTGATCCGAGTTGTTTGTATAATCATTACCTCTTCTTGTAGTCGTTCTTTTTCTTTGATGTGTTCACAGTCCAGTGTGCCTTGGCTAGGATATGTTAGTTTAAGCCAGTCTTTCTTGTGGTTTTCCGGGCTGGCTAAAAAAGTATGCACTTTTTCCCCCCGTCAGTGTTTACGTTTGCTAAACTTGTGGGATATTAGCAATGTCTTTAATATTTTCAGTTGGCCATACAGTGGATTACTCATCTTCTCCTTGGCAGTTCCAGCATTTTATTTTTATTTTTTCTTTTCGTTTTTGCCTTTTCTACTCTCAGTAATGGCTTTTCCAATCCTGTCATTAAATAGTTTTATATCCGTTTGTGCAATAATGTTTTGTTCTGCTTTAGTCAAAGAGCCAAATCATAAAGTTCTCTGCCAGTAGGGCAGGAAGTCTATGGCACCATCACTGTCTTTCGCATCTAACACCATTTCTCGCTCTTTCTTGACGTATCTTGCCAAAGCCAACTGCTCAGCAGCTTGTGAATGTACATGACGGTCGATTTTTTAAAATGACAGTCCCTTTGAAGACTGATGAATTGTCCACCTTTGATCTGATATTAGTTTAATACAGAACGCAGTGTGTGGCCTGGGAATAACGAGCCCACCTTCTGAAGATTCATTGCATGACTTTAGAATGTCCTGCATTTATATGTGTAGATATTAATCTTAAACACATTCTGCTCTCCAAACAATGAACATTAGAGACTGTTATCCATTTTTCATTTGCATCTGGAGCCAGACTGGAATTTTTTTAACCCACTTTAGGCCTCTTTTCTCAAGTACCTTTTGAGAGCTTATAAACCCGAGAAGCAGTAAAATATGAGATAAATATATGATCACGTGCAGGCCCAGTTCCAAAACTAACTGCCTTGCTGTCTGCTGCTTACATATTAAATGCTTTCTAAGAGACCATATTAACAGTATAAGAACCTCATAAGTGGCTGATTGGAAACATGGACAGATTGACCTGGGATTGCATTATCTGTAAAGGATACATTTGAATTTGGCCAAAAGCAAGCCTCAAAATCATGATGCCTACCTTTTGGAGCCTGTGGCACCCTAAAATGCTGTGTACGTACGTGGGCAGCTCATCAGGTTTTGGAACAAAGCAATAGTCCACACACATGTCCAGGTCTAAATCTGTGGGCCATCACAACAACACATTTGAAAAAAAAAAGGAAAAAAAAAGTTGCAATTATTTTCATGCCTCTTTTATTTTAATCTAAATGTGCAAAAGATTAAATGTACCTTTAGGCTGGTGTAAGACAAATATTCCACTCCCACTATGTGACGATGTGGCAGATTCCTCGTAAAGGATTTTCATCATGCAGTGCAAAAGACCCATCGGCATACCAGTGTCTTGAATGACAGATAAAGATGTGTGAATAGAAGGTGAGTAAATGACAAAAGGGATCTGATTACACTGTCTACAACATTCAAATCTTCAAGGAACACTAACCTATTTCTAAGACAGATTATGTAAACATTAGCAAACTATTTATTATTTTTGTGTATCTATATGATGTTTAAAACCATTTGTTGTTTGACCATGTGGTAGTATAAAAAGACAAGGTTGGGTACCAAAAACATAAATAAAGTAGCATTTATTAACTGGCAGATGATTTTATTCAATGCAATATTTGGTAATATTCAAGGTAGGCTACACATTATGAGTTTTTGCTTTACCTGGGAATTGAACCTTGGTAAGGCAAGGCAAGGCAAGTTTATTTATATAGCACATTTCGTACACAATGGTAATTCAAAGTGCTTTACATAAAATAAAGTAAAATAATCATAAAAAAATAATCACAAAAATAAAACAAGGAATTTAAAAACTTTGAAAATGATTAAAAAATTGATTTAAAATTAATTTAAGACAGTTAAAAATAGAAAATAATTATACATAAAATACAGCATAGCTGTGATAGGCAATTTGGTTCTTTCTTATTATTTGACTTAGTGGGAGCATATACAGGCTAAACAAGAGCGGTGCAAGAATTGAGCCTTGTGGGACTCCGCATGTCATGGAAGTCCACTTAGACTTATGCTCTCCTGTACTCACATAATAACCTCTCCCTTCTAAGTATGACCTGAACGATTTGAGTACCATTCCATAAAGCCCGACCCAGTTTTCCAGTCTCTCTAGAAGTATGTTATGATCAACAGTGTCAAATGCAGCACTGAGATCTAGTAGTACAGCACTGATATGTTGCGAATATAATTTATTATCTTAATGAGCGCTGTCTCTGTGCTGTGATGCGGTCGGAAACCAGATTGAAAATTGTCCAGGTATCCATTTGAGTTTAAGTATTTGTTCAGCTGATTAAAAACTACCTTTTCAATAATCTTGCCAATAATCTTGCCTATAAAAGGAAGATAAACCTTGGCATTGCTAGTGCTGTGTCCTACTGTTTCAGCAACAGGAAGAATATAATATATACATTTACACAACATTTATGCATTTGGTAGATATTTGTATCCAAAATGACTTACATTCAAGGTTTAGGTTTTATCTGTTCTTGCTTTCTCTGGGAACCAAACCCATGACCTTGGCATTGCTATTGCCGTGCTGTACTGTCTGAGCTACAGGAAGCATATAATATGTACATTTACATCACATTTACGCATTCAGTAGATGCTTTTATCCAAAGTAACTTGCATTAGATAAAATGTACATTTTCCAAAATGACTTAAATTGCATTCAAGGTACACATTTTATCAGTGCTTGCTTTCCCTGGGAATTGAACTCATAACCTTAGCATTGTTATCGCTGTGCTGTACTGTTTGAACTACAGAAAGGATATAATGTATACAGTTACATCACATTTATGTATTTGGTAGATGCTTTTATCCAAAGTGACTTGCATTAGTTGCAAGGTACATTTCATCAGTTTATGCATTTTCTAGGAATCGAACCCATTACCGTGGCATTGCTAGTGCCATGCTTTTCTGTTAAATGTGCCACAGAAATGCAAGTAGGCACATAAAAGTAGTCTATAGAACTTGTGTGCTATATTTAAAGTCTACAGAAGCGATTTGACAGCTTTGTATGAGGAACACATGAAAAGTTTCCTCACACAAAGCAATCAGATGTCTTTAGAAGACATGGGATAGAACACAAAAGTCCTATAGAATATCTTTATGGTGCTGTTTGTCATTTTTGGAACCTCAATCAACCATTCCTATTCACTTTCATTGTATGAAAAACAGCACCTCTAAGATTTTACAAAACGTTTTGTGTTCCACTGAAGAAAGTAAGTCATTTAGAACAACAAAAGGGTGGGTAAACAATAATAGAATGTTCATTTTTGAGTGAACTGTTTTACAACACAAGAGACCAGAGTTAGCACAGGTCAAGCGTGATCCTACAAGCCCTGCTGCTGTCAAGTCCATCGGAAACTTCAGCCAGAACCCGATGCCAACAGCAGCAGCGAGGCCTGGCTGCGGGCGCTGGCGTGGAGGCTGATTAGCTCTGCAGGCATTAGAGGCTTATTACCTGATTGGTGGCTTTCGGAGAGGCAACCTGACAAGCTCCCATGTTCCGATGGGGCTGAATCCCACAAGGTCATCATTCCTGGAATTAAGGGTTCATGTGGCGCTTGATCTCCCAGTCCCATTGCAGGGGAACCCAGAGGTGGAGTGCGCTAGGATTTATGAAGAAATCTGAGTATCTGCAAGAGCGTCAAGTCAATCCTAGAACGAGGCATGCATATGCTGGCACGCTAACATGCACATACACAACCTCGCAGGTCAAGTGCACAAGGCCATTCTTGTCATCTAACCCTCCTGACTGGGACATTGAGACATGCATAAAAATATTTGATAATACCAGTGCTGTTTTACAATCCTGTGGTTGCGCAAATTAAGCTGGCCTGTGTAGAAGCCAAATAATAAAATTACAAGTCAAAGGTATAAGCCTCAAGCCACGTTTACTAATCATCTTATCATAATCCTGTGAAAAATGTTGTATCGGATCCAAAAATCAGATTGAGGCAATTATAAGAAATTAGATCTAAATCCGAAATCTAATACATACCATTATGATTCACCTCATGTAATTCTGCTAAAAGATCCAAAATTTTGGTTAGATCATTCATGATGTTGACAAATTTAATTTGCAACTTATTGAATTGTGGATAAAGAAATCTAAAGAAGTGTTGTATTTCAGTAGGGTTTGGAGTCTAAACATGTTCCCTGACTGTCGTGTTTAACCTTCTTAAATGAGTCTAAAGCCTCCTCGGAGCAAACCACAGGAGCGCAAAGACTATGAAACTGACTAATTGTCTGCTGTTTTGGAAATATGTCTGCCCGTTGACGTTTCAGCCTCAGCGTCATCTTGAAAACGCAACATCCACTTCGTGTCCACCCATGTGATGATCATTTTGCTCGTTTGCGGAATATCTGACTGTAAACGGTCGTACATGTCCAGGTCTCATAAAAGTCAGTGTGGAAGCTTTTAGAAGCAGCTTGTTTCACCAACCAGCTTTACCTGGATTTGTGAGGGCTTAGATTTTCCATCTGCTCCCACACTAATGCTTCCCGCCCTCCCTCCCCAACTTCCCATGACTTTTCCCAAAAACCTGATCTCAGCACCAGCCCAACCTCCATCCCTTCCCGTTACCCAGCCCATCCCAGCGTGTCTTTGTTCCAGCGCATGATGTAATGCTCGAACAAGCTCTCGGGGACCTGGGAGATACAAGCCTAAACAAAGGGAACTAGATCTCTTTTCATGCATGAGATCTAGATAGAGCTGCATGTTTCGACAAAGTGCAGGGAGAGGGAGAGGGCAAGAGCGTTAGAGCGAGCGAGAAAGCCACTTGTGTATAAATACTGATTACAGCGATAATGAGTGTAGCATAATAAGCTCTTGATTGGTCCCCCTGCATTACATTACAGTGTCACAGGAAAATAATTTTAAACACCGGTCAGGTTCGATCATTAAGGGGCAGTTTGTCTCTCATCTCATCATTTGATCCACACATGCATCCACCAATTGCCCCTGCTAGATCATGGTTTATTTTTACCCCGAACTCTGAGGGAGCGGGCGAGGAGCAATCTAACCACTGTTTTGACGTTTTGGACCAAAAACAAAGCTATTCTCAAAAATAAATCGACATCATGTAAACTCTGTTGTCTGCCGGATTCGCATGGATTTGAGAGATCACAGAGGCCTTAATTTCTGCCGGAACAAATTGATTGGGTTTCCGGAACTGGATACGGCACATATTTTAAGGAATCCTCATACGCCTCCGGCTGCATGTGTTTAATAGAAAATCGAGTATAACTACATGTTTACGCTTTCTGAAGAAATGTGAGTGGTGCTTTTCTCGACCAAAACACGCCACAGTCATGCCAGGGCATTGTTACTGTAAGTTGCCCGTCAAGTGGTTGCTATTATGTTGCACAGTATAGGTGGTATAGCTAGTATATGTCAAAAGAGCACATCCCAAAATCTCTATGGCTTTAAGACTAGCAGAAACTTTTTTTGTCTGCCTGACTCCCTTTAGTCTGAATGGCAAAAGAAAAGCTCATGAAATGCAGCTTTCACAAAACTATGGTTTGTTAACAATTTGGATACTCCATATAATCAACACTGAAATGAAATAAGCTGAATCATCTGTAGAGCTGTTTTATATTTGAACTGAGTTTGCTTAATAGCTAATGAACTTTGCAACACTGATACAGTCACTGAAGTAAATTAAGTTGTATAATGCCACTATTGTCTTTTTAGAGCTGCTTTATAGCTGAAATTGCTTTAATTTCACTTTGCAACAATAATACTGTTATTTTCCTGTTTATGTGAAGCTGCTTTGATACAGCCTGCTATATAAATAATGTTACTTGACTTGGTGAAATCTATTGTTAAAGTCAAACTTATGTTTGCATTGGGAATGACTATAACAATCTATGTGGATGTGCTGGCAAAAATGCCTGCAAAATACAGTTTTATTTAAAAAAAATATTTCTGTTTATTTATTTTTTTTTTCGGTAAATTATCTAATGTTCCTTAAAACGAAATGGATTTACTTTAGAAGCAACAATGCATAAGACGTATTTTCATACTTTTGATACTGCACTCACAGATTTTTTCACTTGTTTTAAATATAAACAAGAAAAAATGAGAATCTGCCAGTGCAGTACAACAAAAACACTTATATTCAAGATACCTTCTCATAAGTTATAAGGAAACTAATGCCACGTCAACACGCCAGCTGAGCAACTTGGGCTTACAATGGAATCTGGAAACTCTAGAAAGTGTGAACGAATATAGAGTTCTTCCTATTGACAAGTGCAAAAATAGGGAGCATGGAGGATGGAATAATAGAGCACCCCTGGAAGCCATCTGCAAACGAGTTTGG